GGGGGGAGACAGAGAGAAAGTGAGTGAAAGAGGGAGCTATTATTTTTATCATTCATTATAGATACCATATAATGTGTCAATACCTATGATTATATGTTACATGATGTGTGTTTGTCAGTGTGTGTTCACGTACACACGTCTGTATGCGTGCGTGTGAGTGTGTGTTACATGTAGAGAGAGAGAGAGAGAGAGAGAGAGAGAGACAGACAGACAGACAGACAGAGAGAGAGAGACAGAGAGAGAGAGAGAGAGAGAGAGAGAGAGCGCTTGTATTTCGTTCGTACATGCGCGCGTGTGTGCGTGCGTGCGTGCGTGCGTGCGTGAGTTCCTGAGGGCGTGCATGTGTATGAATTCTCCTTAAAAACTGCGTATAGATATTCCATTGTGTGTATACATGTGACTCACCTCCATCTTCCTGCTCTCTTCCTGTTTCTCCCACATCTGGATGAGCTCCCGCTGTTTCTCCTGCTCTTGTTGGCGGATCTTGTTCTCCTCACACCACTTCATGTAGGCCTCGTAGTCCTGCTGGGACTGCATACCCCACCAGTCTGCCAACGAGATACATGGGAGAATTGTTTAAGTAAGATTTCAAGATGATTTAATTTGGGGCTGGGAAGAACTGGTCGAAGATTTATAATTGACTCGCTTTTTGTCTACAAACAATACAGTATTCTTTGTATACGGTGAATAAAATGCACTGTAACAATAGCAACGGTGACCTATATTATCTTTTTAAACGTCATAAAAGAAAGAAATGTACACTCACTGCACTATAACAATAACAATAACAATGGTGACCAATAATATTTGTTAAGCGTCATAAAAGAAAGTAAAGCCCGCTCGTTGCACTGTAACAATAACAACGGTGACCTATATTATTTTTTTTTAACGTGATAATTTTTAAAACGTGATATAAAAAAAAGTAGAGTCTACTAACTACACTGTACTGTAACAATAACAATGGTGACCTATATCATCTTTTTCTAAACATCACTTTAAAAGAAAGTAGAGTCCACTCACTGCACTGTAACAATAACAATGGTGACCTAGAGAATCTTTTTTAAATATAAAAGAAAGTGAAGGTGTGAAGAATACACTGAGAACATTCAATATCCCAGCCAGCCAGGCCATCAAACTTGCTAGAGACAGGAAGCTCTTTCTCCCCTGGACGCCGTAGAGGTACAAGTCAAGAGGAAGGACAATAAAGAAGAAGAAAGAAAGTAACGTCCACTCACTGCCCTGTCCGCCGTTGCTTCCTCCCTGCTGCATGCCACCTCCCTGCTGCATGCCGTCTCCCTGCTGCTGTCCGCCCCAGCCCCAGCCTTGCTGCTGCTGCATCATGTTTTGCATCATGTTCTGCATCATGGCCATCTGCTGGTTGTTGTCCCAGCCCCCGGCCGCCGCCAGTGGGATGACGATCAGAAGACACGCGAGAGGGACCATTGTGCTGGAGAAAGAGGTTTTTTAAAGGTTTTTTTTAGTAAGGTTTTACGGCGCTTGCAACTGTATAAGGTCATATGATGAGCGCAGAGGGAGACAGATGAATAGGTTGGGGGGATTTTTGTTTGTTTGTTTGTTTGTGTTTATTTATTTA